CATACATACATACACACACACATAGAGATAGATAGATAGATAGACAGACAGACAGATAGATAGATAGATGGATAGATAGACGTAAATAAGTATGCAGCTGCAGAAATGAATACGTGTATGTGTATGTGTAAGCCGCCGACGGAACAGTGACTCGGCAAAGGAAAATCCAGGACGTTAGGGCCATGATAGACGGTAGATGACTGATTTTCCTATCTAACCTACCAGTAGCTTACAGTTCTGACCTGACACCCATGCGCTAGACGGCCACAGGTGTGAAGTACACTAAGTCTGGTTGAAGATACAGTCTCCCACATAAATCTCGTATGCATTCGCTAGGAACACTTCGGGGGAGCCAAGACATGATTCCAGCCCTCGGTTTCGAACACGCCTATATCGAAAAGCCCTGGAAGCTGTTGCTTGTTGTTGGCAAGGCCGCAAAAACTTGAGCAGTCCTTGAGCGTTGAAGCCACATCTCCTGCGTCACGGAGTAGAGCAGGGCCAGGAGAGTTCAGGTCTCTCAACATGGAGAGAGAGAGAGAGAGAGAGAGAGAGAGAGAGAAAGAGAGAGAGAGAGAGAACGAACATATCTGCAGGGTACTAGCTCTTCATCAGCAAATTTTTGCGACCTACGGGTGCTCATCGTCGCGGGTTGGCCTCGAGAACTAGGGCACGAAGATGAGAGAGAGCGACAGACAGATGCAGAGAGACACAGAGGCAAAGAAACAGACACTGTTTCCAGCGAGATTGAAAAATCGAGCGGTGCACGCCAAATGTAACAACCGTCGACGACCTCGCGACTCCAGTTACTTCTTCCATGCTTTCAACAACATGCACTTGCCGGAGGCAAACCATGCGGCTCCAAAGGTAGTGTCATGAGGCATGAATGCAAAGTACACTAGACACACTGGAGAGTCCTTCATCGATCTCTTCCTTACAAGTCACAAAAGGCAGCGTTCGCTAGTGACATGCAGGTCTCGGGTGTCTGACATTGCTGTCGGACCAGAAGGATAGGCTAGTTTATGGAATTCGCCGAAGCCAGAACTTCTAAGTCCTGGGTCCCGGAAGGGGCAGGAGCTGCTGAAACCACATCTTCGAAACGCGGTCTAGTGGAGGCTGTCGCCAATGTGCACGTGGAGGGTTGCGGCGTTGCCACGTTGTCTGAAAAATGCAGGTCGCGGGCCGGCCAGGCAGGTAGCCATTGTCTACGAGCTACTGAGGGACGATTCTAGAGCAAAGGCAAGTTGACCAAAGCATCGAAGGATGTCAATGTATGCAACTATTCCGGTTTGTTCAATCTGCGCCCTCCATCTTCTGCCGAGGTCTCTACCAAACCAGGTGGGCGTCGAAGTGGTTCATCAAGTGGCCTGCGGCCAGCGAGTGAAGACTGATTTGCAAAGCTCCGGACATGCGCAAAAGTTGAAAGGCTTGTCTGCTGCCGCTGCATGCATCGTGATTCCCGACATGATACCGTCATCGACAACGAAGTCATTCTACATCTGCTAGGCTGCGGAGGGACGAGGTCCCTGCATGTCTGTAGACCCGGAAGCCTTGCAAATCACAATTCTTTCAACAAGCGCTCGTGTCGGAGACTTGACATGCAAAAGCAACGAAATGGTGGGCATGCATCTTCCAGTACTGACGTCGTATGGCACAGCTTTCAGGGTGTATGCAGCAGCGCAGTGCCCATGCAGCATGGAAGCGAACACTCTGGAGCGTTCCCTGCAGATCCCTGTAGTCATCTGATAAAAGCTGCGGCATTCTAGTTTTGTCGTACTCATCGACAGTTAGACCCTCGACCGTGTCTTCGCCCGACTTGAAAAGCTCAGGACTTGGCTCCCGAACCTGCGTGCAGGAACAAAGAGCTGAGAAGCGTGTGGCTGCACAGGCCCTCAGTACCACTGTAGAGGGATGTGATCAGTTGCCAACGCAAGCCTCGATCACACGATTCGGCACAAGTCATAGCCACAGCAACACCAGACAGTAGCCTCCACTAGCCATCCCACCTGCAATCACTGATCCCAAAGGTTTGCCCACTGCACGACTCGTGGGACCTCGTCTCGGGTTGCTCCCGCTTCCGGTCGCACTTCCGCTCCCGCTTCTCCAGGCCTCCGATGAGGAAAGAGAAGTCAGCCAAAACACGCCCTGTACTCCACTACTCGACCCACCCACCCACCCACCCACCCACACACGCACACACGCACACACACACACACACACGCACACACACAAACAGAGACACACACACACACAGACACACACTCGTGCTGTGCGTGCACGTGCGCGGACAAGCACACAAAACAGGCTGTGATGGATTTGCAGTCCAAGCCCCTTCCTGCAGGTGGAGAGCCTGAGTCTCCCAAACGTCCTTTGCGCTCATAAAGCTCGGTGGTGCTTCTTCCCTTAGCAGGCGAGGCGTGCAACTTATGGCTGCCGCAAAATGCACAAGCACTCCAGCATTTTCTATCCTGGCTTCCATGGAGATGGTGCTTGCCTGAGACAATCCAGTGGAGACTGTGTGCTATATCATGCTCGCATGGGCCATCCCCAACGCATCGATGCATGATTGCAGACCGTCTTCTTTGGAGAGCTTTCCATGAACAGAAGTGCAGCAGAACGCTAGGACACGCACTCTGCAGGCATCTCTTTCAGAAGCTGCTCCATCTTGGCATCCACCTCGTAAATCCAGTGCCACTGGAGCCGACATGAAATGCAAGATGTCAGAGTCCATCCGGCCGACATGAACAGCACGCTCAGGCGGTCCTTTTCTCGTGAATGGTAGCTTCTGGGCGATCGCTGCAAAATGCAGGGGAAGCCTCCTGGACAGTCCGTGCCTTTTCAGCTTGATGAAGATTTCGGCAGCCGCAGGCACTTCCCAGGCCAAAGCAGCTGTCGTGCTGGAGGCAGCTATGCTAGAATGCTTGCTGCACAGGTTCACTAGCTAGAATTCAACTTTTGAGCAAGGCTGTGCAGGACCCTTCTGTACAGCTTGTGACCACGTTCCATATAGCTCCATATGTCGAAGTCAAGCTTTGCGTTGCTAATACAAGCTGTTTCGTGTCGCTGACGATAGCGCGATTATCACAGCTTGTAGAACCAGATGTTGCTAGTAACTGCCAGTACAGAACAACCATCTACAGCACCAGGCTGCCAGTGGAAACATGACCAACACAAGTGACCAGACTCATTTCCACAGTTCGTCGCCAGTAAGACATATGCGTGCAGAGTATGGTTGCCTTTTTTGCATGCATCAATATACATATGATTATGGCTACATATGTGTATACACTATATATACACGCATAAGTACGTGCGAAATAACATACATTACACTACAATACGATGCAATACAATACAGGACATTACATTACATTCCATTCCATTACATTCCATTCCATTACATTCCATTCCATTACATAAAATCATCGTACCTTGCGGTAGAGACGAGTCTACAACTTGAAGCAGCATGTGTGCCCCCATGGCGGGTCTTCGTATACAGACATATGTGACATGTAAAACGTGCCTGGTTGCTTTTGCACCCGTTGATGTGCACTCAGTATACTTTCCGCTCCTGAAAACTCTTGGTAAACCAGATGTGCGCAGTAAGCAATGCAAGATAAACAAATGTCGAAAGATGCATGCGAGTGGTCTCGCTGACCGCCCCGCATATAGTCGGCGGGGACCGCACGCATCAGGCCCGGTAACAGAAGCTTGGCTGTCTGTGTCTAGGGTAGCCGCAGCATGCAGGCTCAGAGCACTAACGAGGGCGATTGGCAGCCAAACTTCGAGCGATCATGATGCGCTCATGCATGGCACAGCAACCCAGTTAGCAACTCCTCAGTTTCGTCCATTCAATTCAATGCATGAATCGGTTGCAGCGCCAGTTGAACTGGATGACCATGCACCTTGGCCTCTGCCAATGGCGGCGGCATAATTATCACGCACAATACAACTAAGAAGAATCCGAAACGTGCATGTAGCCGGGGCTTGGAACAGATTGGAACGAGCTAAACGGAGCTAAACATGCTCCTGCATTTCAATGGCTCTCAAACCACGCGCCGGCGCGGCTCTCTGCAGCCTGACACAATTCTCGCTTTGATGGCTTGGGCCAAGCCAAGGGAGCATTGGAAGTAAACCCTGTGCCAAACGATAACAACCAATAATGCTGTCACGAACCCTGAGACATGAAACCTTGGTCTCGGCGACTCAAAGATGCGCATCTGCTGTAAAGTAGCTATCAAAATCCACAGCCCCATTTATGCCAGCGCCACCGTGCTGGCAAAAGCGTTAGCTTCAACCGCGCCACCACTGGGTCTTTTACTGCACCATGCCGGTTTGCAAAAGAAGACTGCACACATTGACATTCGCCTGTAGTAGCACAAGGCGGTCACAGAAAGCCCAGCCAGCAGCATGATGCCAGCAGTCCTCCGACGGGACCGCGAAGCTGTCATGTTGAAAGGCAGAAGACCGATCCACTGGTCTAGCGGCCTAGCGCGCTCAAATCCTAGCATGGGACCTCTCAGCCTTGTTCTGCACACTGGGGGAGTCCTCAAGGGATGAACATCACTTTGGAAGAAGCGAGGCCTCACCTCGGTCTGCAGGGATCCGTGCTCTACTGCATGCCATGGGTGCTGCCCACTAGAACAGCATGGCAACTTGCACGAGACGCAGTTGCATCAGCCAAGAAACTATGCGTGTTAATTACACAGTCGCGAGTCTTGAAGCTAACGGCAGCGTGTCCTGTCGCACATGGCAGCGAGAGCAGTCAAGAAGCCTCGCCGGTAGTTGTGGTTGTTGTCGAGGTTGTCGTGCTTGTTGTGGTCCAGCATGCATCAATATGTCCGAGAACTGTGTCGCGGATATCCGACGCAATACCTCGGACATCTTCATGTATTCCGTCTGACAAGGGCACGGTACGTCTCCTGCTCCATGTAACTCCACAGCTTGAAAAAACTTGCCGGACACTACCGCTTTCATGACCCTGCAGCCCTAACAACCGTCGTGGCAACGGCAAATACGACCAGCAGGCCTGCCATGGCGAACATCATCTTTGTGTCGCGAAAGACGGACGAGTGCGCAGCCTTGTCACAAGACGCGCGCTGGCATGCTCAGACTGCTGTGTGTGCGCATCAGCGAGGCCCAACATGCTGACAGGAATGCCGGACAAACAGGCCCTCACTTTCCGGTGTGGCATCTATGGCTCTCTTCTTCCGTCTCAGCATCTCTCAGTTTCCTCAACCGAAACGTGCATTCCGCAACTGGCCCGCAACCCGAGGTTCTTCGGAGCAAGCAGCAAACTGAAGACCACTTCCCGAAGCGAATGGGTCTCTTCTGAGCAAGGACCGAACCTGCACATTGTCGCCTCAGTTTCGGAGCCAATTTTGTAGGACCACGACGCTGCGGAAAATGGAAAATGTGGAAAGACTACGACCATGTGTCAATATCTTGTTAAAGGGAAGTGGATGCTGTAATTATAGATCTTGATTCTGTAACAGATTGAAACCGTATATGCATATACTGTATCCAGATACATTCCCAACATCCACATCCGCCTCTTTAACACGACTCTACAGGTTGCTTCCATATTTTGGTACACGACTTAGATATGCCGAAAACTGCCGAAAACACATCAAATTTCGCACACGAATCGTGCTGCTAAACGTCCCGGGTTTGACATAAGTGTAAATCTGGTGCCGAATCTCGGCGGTGACGGAGAGCATGCCAAAAATGGCTATGTGATATTAGAAAGCCTCGTGTTTTTTGTGTGCATTTTGTCGCATGCTACTGCGTGTTCCCTATGATAATCCTATTGCCACAAATACGCTGCACATTCTCTCTCACGAATGTGAATATGCGTGTATATGTGCACCATCTCTTTCCCGCTGTGCGTCAGGTGTCTGTCCGATTGTGCCGTTGCCTGATGGTGCCTAGTGGCTCCTCCGTTTGGTTTAACAATGAAAGGACGGAGAGAGCTTCTTGCCATTATAAACACAAGAAACCCAATGAACGAATGCTTCTATTCTTGAACCCCCCAACACTCCTCTGTAAGTGAGATTTCTTGTTCACAGGAGGGCGCGCAAGAAGGCTCTTCTACAGCAGAGTCAAGAGAGCTCCTTCAACCTCAGATACCATTGGCCCTCTTCACAACCGTCAGTCAGAATTTACGAGCTCCTTATCCTTGTATCAAACCTGGGATGGCACCTTTATGGAAGAAAACTCCTCTTTATCTTGTGGCACCATCTATGATAGCAATTAAAACGACAACCATGGACAGAGCGATCGGTGTCTCTTTTTGAAGATATAAGACAGCACCAATAAGAGTGAATGAAAACTCTTGTCTCATAGGAAAGAGCATAGGCAGGCTCCAATGTCCTGTACTGACGACAGAGGTGAAGAGTCGCTACAGTCTTAGTACAATTAAGGTGGGCACTCTTCATACCTATCACTTATCAAGCGAAAGCCACGACAACTTGTGCTTTTCGAATGAAAACAAACTATGGCCGCGTCTAAACTTCTAAACATGATGGAGGCAGCTTCAATAAGAATTAATAAAGTTTGGCAGCTCTTTGTGGGAAAGGAAAAGTAGTCGACAGCCGTTTCGCAAAATTTACCAGTAAACAAGCTCCCTTTGTCGGTTGGTAAGATCTACTGGGATCTAATGAGTCTAACGAGCATTCCTTGAAGCTCTTAATGTTGTGTTCCATTCTACTACAGCTATCAGAGATAGCAACCATGGATATAGCGATCGGTATCTTTTCGAGGAAACAAGACAGCATCAACAAGAGTAAGGTCAGGTTGTTGGTTTGGCTGTGCTTTTCGTATTGCGGTGCCTGAACGGTAGTTTTATTAGGCGGGTTGAGAAATGCTGTGAAAGCGGGTAGGGGGTATTGAGTGTGAGGACAGGGGTTAGCCTCTAAGATACTGCTAGGATCCTGGGTGCCGCAGGGCTAGTCCCGCCTGTTCATGTCTAGCTCAGACTTAGCAACTTCCCTACACAAGCATGATCTTAATTCGATAGCTGTGACACCCAGCACAGTTTAACTTTCGTCCTGCGCAGGTTTACAGAACGTACCTCAATGTTTTGTCCGTTTCTGTAGAAGGACATGCATTGAATGCATTGTAATTGCATGTATGCTCGGAAAACATGTTGGTAGGGAATGTCTGAAGATGTGCCTACGCAGGCAAGAAACTATGAGAACAACGACTGCATCTGGGCGCGCGCACACACACACAGTCTACATATGTGTATATATATATATATTTCAATTTCTTTATTTATACGCATGCATGGAATGTATGGTTACATCTAGTCTATGATTGTCTAAGCACCTTTCTACCTACGGAGTCATCTCGAAAGCTGGCAAGTGGCCAGTCGGGGTGTTCTTCAATTCCTTGGTGGAAGCGGCATCTGCGAGACACGTTGCAAAGGACTGTGCCAACTCAACGCATATTAAGTGCAATTGCAGGCTGTTCCGAATCCACGCCAGGGAGGTCATTAGCTCTCGCTTTATCGTCAAGGGGGCGTTGTAGCCACGAACGAAGCTTTCGCCCTCATCCCGCGCTGAGTCTGGAGCGCCCCCTTGCCAGTTGCGTGAGAACGGGCTGCATGTTGAAATCACAGCAAGCATGCTGGTGCAGCTGGGCAAGCCACACAACTGGGCCGTGGCCTGTAGCTGCTTCGAATTGACGTCAGTACCAACCCCGACAGCAACAACCAATGAGGCAGTTTTTCATTGCAATCTGCTCGCTACGCTGCGGCTTTGCTGTCTCCAAAATTTCTGCACAGCGCCCCCGAACTCTGCAAGCAAACCTTCGTGTCCCCGCCTTCCGAGCTGAGGTATGCCAGATCGTTGGCCAAATCGGGAGTCATGACCAACTGCAGCAAAACGTCTGTGCCACACCTGCTTTTTTTGCACTCTGCCACTCTGCATTCTATCTTCAGGGTGGCCTTGTGCTGCTCTCGGGTGGCTTCTTGACAGCAGCGACACAGTAATTTCCTGCCTCCAACACAAATAGTCGGGATCAACACTCAAACATTCATTCTGCACTAAAGCTTGCCAGCCCAAGGCACAGGCCGCAGCCCATAGCCCACCCCCACCACACGGTCTGTGTTGTGTCAGGTACAATGCACTCGTGAATTCCACACCATTCTCAAGCATGTCACAAATGTACTTTTGTGGCCCTTGGAAGTGGATCTTAACAACACCAAGAGTAACACTGGTCATGAAATCAATACATGTCAGACTGCCTGCAACAGTTGAAGTAGTGCTTCTTACCCCAGCTCTGTACTGCACTACATGCCTTCAAAGCGGGGCGGAAGTCTGAAAGCACGTGCAAGCTAGAGACACCGGCCGTTTGAGCCCTGATCTCATGTTGCTTCCAAGATGCTTTGTGCTTGGAGCACCGGGGACAGTCGTGACGACCTGCACTGCGCTCCCCGGTACTGCTGTGTCGCAAATTGAGGAACCGGGAATAAATCCAAACCCTACAGTGACTAGGGGCTTACGGCTTACGAGCCTTCTTGCATGCCGAGACTGAAGGAGGGAGCGCTGTCGACATCAGCTCTGTGAGGTCTGCGGCTGTCGGGCAGCTGATCAAAGTCCTTGGGCAAGTTAGAGGCATCATGAACGAGTTGGCGAACGTGGCAAGACTCAGTACATAAATGCGTGCCATACACTTACGAGTGCGCAGGTCACATCTCACCTCTCTTAGGTTCTACGAAAGCTAAAGTAAGAGCCTACAGTTGACTGTCCCAAGTCTGCTTGGTGTCTACGAAGGCGCACCGGTTACTCAGCAACCACTACCCATGGTCTTGAGACCTGGTCTGAGGGCACATGGCTCGTGGGAAAAAAGATAGGCTACAAACACGCCAGTCTCCTCTCTTCGCTTCTCGGACAGCGACGAAATAAGCAGCCGGGAAACTTCATGTCTGCCACGAGGGAATCACATCCAGTCACGGTGCCAGGCTCGATAGTCCGGTTCTTAACCACGCAGACAAGGAGTTGAAGCTGTTTCCTGAACGGCCGCACAATCATGAAGGGCATGCCAGTGACACCTGACAACATCTCGCCGGAGCTCTAGAACCTTCAGCTTCAACCTGACGCTTCCAAAGACAAGATCGCGACTATATGAAATTGCGAGAACACATCAGACAAGAACGGTTGCCCAAAAGTGCAAGCTTGAACCAATGATCCCTGAACATCTCCAAGGATGTCTTGGACCCACCATACCAGCTCCAACGCGAAAGAGCTTCTGCACGAGCTCCCGGACATTTGCAGCCAGCTGCCGCTCGTCAAAAATGTCCTTCCGGGAGGTAGGTCAACCGGAAAAAGCTTGACTTTTTTCTGGTTCCATGCAGAATCCGTGGATGAAGTATTCATGGAAAGATATGGCACTTGCCAGGGACGGGTAGGCCAGGTAGGCTTGTAGGTACATGAACAAGCTTGCTTCTCAAATACAAGTGAGGCATTGGTCCGCCCCTTCATCAGCCCTCGACAATCGCCGAGATCGATCGAGCAAGGCCCGTGCACACCCGGAGGACCTGCCAAAGGCCTTGCTGAACCCTTCGTCGACTTCGTAGGCGTCTCCTTCAAGAAAGGGAGCTGCCCGCCAATAAGGTCCGCTGCAGAATCAAAGGAGATGCCGTTCATGCGGAACTGATCCCAGCTGCTCTCCTTGGGTCCAGCCTGCAGATTGAGCTGACTAGCAAAGGCAGGCAAAACAGATGCGACATGGAGAGTAGACAATGGCGTCCACAACGTAAGCAGTCACCTCTACCATGCCAATGCCTACGGTGACAGCCTGTGAGTCCTGAGGGCCCGCTGGAGCCTTCTCACAGCCACATGAACGATGCTGACAACTCTGCAATTCGAGACTTTCATGCACAAACTGCTCGCGCTTTAATTGCAGGGGAACACAACCGGAGAGACTCCGAGACTCCTTCTACAATAGTGACAATAGTGGAGTCGAGTCCGATATGATTTGCTGCACGAAACGGGAAACGCGCGACATCTTTCCGAGTTCTGCTTTCCTAGGGCAGAAAAAAACTTGCTGGTCTCACACCCCAAACGGCCCAGCAATTCATCTGCTGCACAACAGTGATGTGATTGGCAACGTGTGCAGCCATTGTTCCATCCGATCGTAGCACGGGGGATTTCGAGCTGTGCAACGAAGACCAAGCAGCCTGCCAAGAGCCGAAGGCATTGAGATTCAGGGCCAGAAGTCCTAAGATGTTTTTGCGCTCAGCATTGTGCGAAGCATTCCCTCCGAAACGGATCCTAGAGCGTGGCTTCATGGCATGATGCGGCAATCTTGACATACGAGAGACCCGCTGACGAGAATCAACAACTGTCCACCAGGCCTTTTTTGGCACAAACATCGCCTTTCGGCTTTGAGCCGAATGCACGTATGTCCAGGACGAGCGCACCATGCAGCCATCCCATCAGAGCCATCGTTCTCATTGTCATCAGTAGAGGGCTAACAACAAGAATGCCATGGATCAGCAAAGCTATTATACATACATGCAGGTGTACATACAACTGCACATACACAAGTACACAGACACACACACACACACTCACATACCTTATCATACATTCATAGGTACCTACACAGCTCCGTCCATCCATCATCCATGCATCCATTCATGCTTGCATGCATGCAGACAGAGGGACAGGCGGACCGACAGACAGACAAATATAAAGTAGGTGAGCAGCCATACAGACACAGCGGCCTAAGTATATCTGTTCGTTTAACCGTTTGCTTGTAATGCAGACATGCTCTTTCATAGGGACTGGTATGGACCGCCCAAGGCACCAAGCAATATATACATGCTCTAGGTAGCGAAGATACATACACACGCAGACAGCATCTGATTGTGGAACCATCGGCAGCAGCCGAATGCAGCTGAGACTCTTTCGCTAATTCCGGGGATTTGATCCGGTTTGGTGCCGTCTTGGCCGTCCTTGGACTGAAAACTGTGGACCAAAAAAGCCGGGAGCAAAGAGCTACTAGTACGTGCATTCCGGAGGTATGTCGCAAAGCCCCAAGAGCACCCTCGTGAAGTCCCCACATTTCCAAGAATTCATGGCCGGGGGGCTTGGGCAACGATCCCCAGCTTTGTCAAGTAACTCCTCGCATTGGCAAGCTTTCATGCCTTTCAATCAGGTCTCTCGAAAGCAGCAAGCCCGCACGAGGTTCTAGTCACGACAAGCCAGGATTCTTCAAGGAGCTGGTGTTGCTGACGCCATTCTTGATGAGCTCTTCATCGGTCAAGGCCTTCGCCTGGACGACGTTAAATGGGACGGAGCAAACCGTCTTGCAGGTATCACCAAAGCATCTAAAGCAATTAGCAAACCAGGTGAAGCGTGCTGCTCTTCAGCGATAACAAGGCGGAGGCGGATGGTCGCAGGGTTTTGCCACGGTTTGGTCGACTCGGATGGCCTGACTTTCCCTGGCGGCATCGACCAAAGGGAAGCATCCTGCGTCGTCAGGCACGTACTGCTTGGACTCCTTGGGACCAATCAGTAGCCTCTTATCGTGGGGGCACCGGTTGTCAGGAAAACCCATTCGTGAAGGAGTGGAATGCATTGAAATCCAGTTGGCATGCGACCAATTCAACCAGGATCTGTGCGTCCGATGCTTATACGTCCGCTACACATGGAACCTCGACGGCAATACTGCCGCAGTCCTTGTCGTACTTCACTGTGATGCTGTGCAATCCTGTCTAGAGCCAGGTTTTGCAAATCTGAGCGTGTGAGGAGACAACTGATCTACCGCAAGCCATCCGATTCAGGAACCAATACACCCTCTTTCAGGTGCACATGTGACCTCATGCCGAGAATAGCAGCTGGTCCACAAGTTGCTGAAACTGAGTGGCACAGCCGCCCTCCCCCCCCCCCCCCAACAAAAAAAAAGATAACAAGAATCCCTTGTTCGTTCGCTCGGGCTTCCGCAGGCTATGCCAAAACACGTCACAGCCATCACTCAGAGAGCACTGTACAACCCCGGGTGACGAAGCGGACCATGAAGGGATCAGTGCCGTTGCTAGACAGGTGAAGTTCGTGCTTTACAGAACCTCTTTAAAACACACTTGATGAGTGCTCGCCCGGTGTAAGTAAACCTGCACCCTGATCATCTCGGATCCTTGCCGGACCTAATCCCGTAGCTTCAAACCAGAACAGCCAGCCGTTCTGTCCTTCCGAGATGGAGGTCACTGTGCCTACACGCCGCTGACCTCCGGTCTCCCTTACCGACGGTCGGCCGGAGACCTTTGGAAATCAATCGCAGCAACGCTCAGAAACTGTCGTGGAACATGCTAGGTCGTGGGTATCGCTGCTATGACAGCAATCTGTCTAGTAGTTGCAAACAATGACTTTTAAAGTGGTGACATTGCATGTTGGCTTTGGTGCAAGTATACTATTTCGACGGATCCATTCTTATTGACGTGCTGATGCCCTTGGATGCGTCTTTGACTGATGTGCCGCTCTCATGCAGAACTGGCTGCAAGCCCATTCCAATCTCAACAGGCATCTGCTTCGCCGGTTTTACATAAGACTGTGTTAAACTACATGTATGACAAAGCACTGGCCAGCAAAGCTCCAGGTCAGGCACCTGGGCGAGAAAAGAGCAGAGGTAATCCATGGCGGAGGCATGCAGCCAAACAGAGCGAGTACAGCTGGTCAATAAAACAGAACCTCGTGGATCTCCTCACTTTCGGAGGTTATAGGACGCTATAGGGTATCGACTTTGACAGAAGTTCTCTGTCTTCGGTGTCTGCTGACCTTCATCATCGAAGCACCAACCGAACTGTCATTCTAGGATCTGTTGGAAAATCCTACTATGGTGGCTCGTATGGTTGCTTCTCCACCGCCGCTCCGGTCTTCATAGTTACGGGTTGAAGAATGCGGCTGCAGACTTCAGCCATGCAAGTTTCGATCACATTGCTCTCCGGCTACAAAACACATTCTTTTAAACGCAAGGCGGGTCGCATCTCGCTTGCATGCCGTTGAGCTAGGATGTTGTTATCTGTCACCACTGGAGTGCTCATCAAGTGCTCTGTGCTGGGTTCTTGGGCTGGACACTGGGCTTCTGCCACCGCGCCCTGCCTTGAAAAGCGGAAACTGCTGGCCTGTGTGGAAGACTCGAAGTGCCAGCTGCATCCTTAGTTGCAGAATGCCAGTTTCAGATCTTGCCAGCAATGCACAGCTGAGTCGATGTGAGAAGTAGAGTCCCTGCCACCATGGATTTCACCAACCCCAGCCACAATTGCAATTGCCACCAACCGAGTGTCGCTGCCGCCGGGTAAGGAGTTTGGACTTTGTCCAGCGGCTTCCATGTCCTCGGATGCATGCTTGACGGCGACGAGCAAGTTCGGTTCCGCTTTTGATTATTCATTGTTCTGAATTTCAGACCCTTCGTCACGTTGGGAAGTATTAAGACTCTGACTCTCTGTTTTATTGTTGCTGCCGAAGTGCTCTGTTTGCTGCTATTGTACTTACGTGATATTCAGACGTAGGTAGCAGTGGAAGTAGTACGCACAGCTCACCTTCTGGCCACTTGGTGGGGCAACAGGTCTGGAACCTGGACCCGCTATAGCACTATGGAGCCCCGAAATGTGGCCGGGTCGGAGGGGGGAAGGGTTAACAACGGCTTTTTGACTCTCCGCTACTACTACTGCTACTGGTACTGCTGCT